TGACCGCCAAAGTGTTCAGGACTTACAACGCCTCGCAAACCCTTCAGTTGCAGTTGAATGCGTTGACCAAATCCGATATGAGTGTACCCGAGAAGATGTTGGCCTATAATAGAGCCAATCGTGCCGTCGCTCTCCTCTGTAACCATCAAAGGGCTGTTCCCAAGACTTTTGACAAACAGATGGAGAACTTGGAGACGAAGATCAAAGACAAGAAGAAAGTGGTGAAGGAGGCGAAGAAGGCATACAAAGACGCCAAGAAGAATAGGGAGGGGACGGCGGCCATCTCGAAACTCCAGAAACGCATGGAAACACTGGAGGACCAGTTGAAGAAACTGGAGGTTCAGAGGACTGATAAGGAGGAGAACAAACAGATCGCTTTGGGAACTTCCAAACTCAACTATTTAGACCCCAGAATCACGGTTGCCTGGTATGTCAAGTTGCCTGGTTGCATTTTCTTATACATCAATTATATACCGATATATCAATTGATGTTTAATTGTTTCATTCATGTCATACAGGGCCAAGAAATGGGAGGTTTCTATCGATAAGGTCTATAATAAAACACAAAGAGATAAGTTTCGGTGGGCTATAGAAATGGTTGGTCCAGAATACCAGTTCTGACCGCAATCACCGGTATATTCCTTATACACAGATATGATATTAGTTTTAATTTTCATCGATGATGTCGTCATATAATTTAAATCCAAACAAAACCCATTCAATGATTTTGTTATACATTACTCCAAACCTGTCACTCATTTCCACATTTATATACAAGTCTTGAATCAATTACTTGCTATATATCATGGATTTTCATTATTGTTTACATTTATATACTCTTAAAACTCATTATTGCTAATAATTTATACTAATTATGAATTATCTCAGAATTTTGTTACAATTTAAATGAATTTCTCTCTAAATTTCGATTAAATTGATTTTCGGTTTATTTAAAATTATAGTTTTATAATTCATTAAAGGGGCCATTATTTACAAGTAGTTTGCAATATATTACCAAATTTTAGCACTTCATCAACAATTCTCTTTAATTTAGGATTAAATTTATATCAAATTATTGTCTTAAGAATTATTTATATTTATTGTAATTTCATTTTTCATTACAAAACATACATTTAAAGGTAAAGGCTTTTAGACAAAAGACTTCATTATATATTGAAAAGCATTTTAAAATTGTAGTCAAAAAACCATTCAATACTTGTTTTTAATTTTACTTATGATTGATATATATTTGACATTAAATATAATGAAAAACTGACGAAATTCTGGTTTTAATTCATTTAAATTCAACTAAAGTTTGTAAATATGTTGTCTTATCCGTGATAACCATGTTTGTGATTGTCAGCGGGTACGTGTGCGTAATAGCCCCATGGTGCGAAACTGTGATACCCGTGACCTTTGGAGGGACCCCGGTATGTCTTGACACTCACGTGCCCTCCGTGTCCGCCGTAATGACCGGCAAACGCCAGTTTGCAAATCGACAGAATATATGCCACAGAAATAAACTGAAAGTTGTAAAAATGATTTTATTATTCATTAGCATTGGTTTGCGAGACTCACCCAAAACACGGCCCTTAAATTCATTTTCATTTATTTCATGTATTCACACAAAATTATAAAAATAAATCTTTGCCTAAAAGTTTGATTCATTTTATATGTTCCCAATCTATAGGCGAACGGCACTCATCCGTGAGACAAGTTTCACAAGTTTTTGTCTCATAAATCTTATGCCAGTTTGCGATGGCTTTCACTTGCATTCGTCGAAAACTTTGTTTCGATTTAATTGCAAAACAACCTCTCATTTCCTAATTCAACACAATATATCATATGAAACAAATAACTACTCTTTTATAATACCTGTCGATTGTTTGTCACTCAATCTCACAACTCATCACTAATTGACATTTTATTAAGTAATTAATTGTCACAAACAAATGTGCTCTAAATATTACCACTGTTTCATCAATTTAATGATTAGATAATTAGATAATGGCTTTATTTGTAACAACTCATCTGTGTACAAACTCGTCTTTCTATTCATATGGTGTTAATTATATTGATTCAATTGTCTTCAAATTATATAACTTATAATACATTTTATGTTAGAACAGTTAATGTTATAAATTTATCATGGCATTTTTAGAGATTTATAGAAATTACAGTATTATATCACGAAAATATTTCTGCTAGATTTTGTAAGATAGTGAACAAGATACTTTGTAAGATAGATACTGTACCAGTAGCATTTTTCAAGAAAATTCTATGATAGTATCATACAATTTTTAAAATGCTTTTTCTCATGAATTTACCAAATGAGGTCATGTTTTAAAAAATAGGGATTTTTAAATCAAGTCAATATTGAACTATTTTAACTTAATATTAAATTCTAATAAAATAAAATGACACGAGTTTAGTAATATTAATAAAATAAATATAATTGTAGTTTTATAATGAATTTGTAATTAAATTAATCATAAAACACATAAAAGTTGTGTGAATTATTAATATTAAATTCTAATAAAATAAAATGACACGAGTTTAGTAATATTAATAAAATAAATATAATTGTAGTTTTATAATGAATTTGTAATTAAATTAATCATAAAACACATAAAAGTTGTGTGAATTCCCTATAAATATAAACATAAATAACAGTAATATTGAGTGAATTCTGTGAGTGCTGTCAAAGCTGTGAACTTTGTATGCAATGATTGCCTGAAAATCAGTGAAACTTCAGGAAAAATAGACACTATTTTGTGAACAGTTTGTCGTTTGCATCGATTCAGTGATCAGACCATTAAAACCGATTACTAAGAGTCTCATCATAAGCTCATAAACACAATAAGAGTATTAATAATCAAATGAAGTAATAATTGGTGATAATAGTGACAATAAGTGGCAATCGGTGTCCGAAATGTTCAAATCAGGTCTCATGTTGTTGTCATCTATTCCTCAATTGAATCGATTGAGTGGTTACTTAAGAGCTGCCAAACAAACCATAACTAATACACTCTACATATCCATTGAACCAAATCTCTTGTCCCACACCAACGCCAACAGATCCACTCAAGAGTTGATGAAACTCTTGCCTCAGATCTACGCCGAAGCGAACCGATGCGCCCCATATCTGGACGTAAGGGTTCTTCACCACCACNCAATAAGTGGCAATCGGTGTCCGAAATGTTCAAATCAGGTCTCATGTTGTTGTCATCTATTCCTCAATTGAATCGATTGAGTGGTTACTTAAGAGCTGCCAAACAAACCATAACTAATACACTCTACATATCCATTGAACCAAATCTCTTGTCCCACACCAACGCCAACAGATCCACTCAAGAGTTGATGAAACTCTTGCCTCAGATCTACGCCGAAGCGAACCGATGCGCCCCATATCTGGACGTAAGGGTTCTTCACCACCACGACTATCATCAAAGACAACACAACACTTCACCACCGGTTCAACGAAGTCTTCAATACACGCCACAAGTAGTGCTCATCAATGGCTCCAATTATAGCGAAGACAACATCAGAAAGTACTTAATCCAAGAGTTCGCTCTCAATGTCCAGAAAATACAGTCGATTCCCGAAAGTGATGTCGAGAATCATGAGACCAATGCCACGGAAGACACTGAGAAAGTGTATGATTATGTGGTTTTGGGCGGAACTTTCGATAATCTCCATAACGGACACAAAGTACTGCTGAGTTCGGCTCAACTCAGATGCAATGATTACCTTACCATTGGTGTGACCGATGAGAATATGATCAAAAGCAAGACATTGTGGGAACTCATTGAACCCATTGATGTCCGCATCGATGAGCTGACTAAATATGTCAGAGATGTCGACCCATTCATTAAATACAATATCGTTGCCATTAGTGATCCGTTCGGACCCTCAATCGTTGATCCGAGTCTTCAATGTATTGTCGTTAGTCTCGAGACTCTGAAAGGCGGACAAAGAGTTAACGAGAAAAGGGTTGAGAAAAATATGAAACCATTGGATGTGATGACAATTGATTTGTTAAATGATTTGAACAAAGAAAATAATTTTGAAGAGCAAAAGATGAGTTCTTCGTCACTAAGGATGAGAAGATTGGGAACCATTTTAAGAGAACCGCAACCCAGACCTCATTTACCGAAAAAGCCTTACATAATAGGACTGACCGGTGGTATAGCGAGTGGGAAGTCATCGATCGCTCAGAAACTCGAAAGTCTTGGCGCAGGGATTATACACTGCGATCTCATGGCCCACAAGACATATGAGAGTCCAGAATCTGCCGCTTATAAAGAGATTGTCCAGAAGTTCGGTCAAGAAATTGTGAGGGATTCGCAAATTGATAGGAAAAAGTTGGGGGAAATGGTGTTCAGCGACAAGAATAAGCTCAAAGACTTGAATGCAATAATTTGGCCCAAATTGGAGCAATTGATTAGAGAGAGGATGAATGCCATGAAAGACAAATACGATGTCATAGTCCTGGAGATCGCTCTCTTGCTTGAAGCCAAATGGGAGGACAAAGTGCACCAAATCTGGGTCTCGATTATCGATAAAAAGGAGGCCGTCAGTAGACTCGGGGATCGCAATCAACTGACCCCAGAGTCAGCCAACAATAGAATCGAGTCCCAGATGTCCAACGAAGAGCGCGTCCGTAAAGCAAATGTTGTCTTTTGTACGCTTTGGGACTCGGAGTTCACAATGGCTCAGGTGAAGAAGGCTTGGACTGCACTCCAACCATATTTAGACAAACCGTGTGATTAATCTCTCCATTGTTTTTAGGATTTGTTATATTTTTATACAAGTTTTTAGTGAAATTTTGGCTCAAAGTAACGATTTTTATTACCGGTATATACCGTATATTTATACTGTCTTTCACTCATTAGTGACTCAATCAATGCGTTCGCTATAACCGAATGGACTGTATTTTATAAATAATATTTAGTACTGTTTTTAGTTTATTAAATCAGATTTTATTTTCATTTCATTTGAAACAAATCATGCATTTATTACGAAAAATATGAGTCATTGTTTGGCAACCGTTTAACGGCGACCCCTTTTGGACGCATTCTTGGATTGCGCACCACTTCTCTTATTCTTGTTATCCGTTTTGGATTTGTTATCAGTTTTTGCTTTCGGGTTAGTGTTGGGCATCATCTTAAAGAAGCTATCGATTCGAGTTTGAGAGCACTTTCCCTTCGAATCCTTAATCCTTTTGACGGCATTCCTTACTCTGTCTTCACTGAAGCCGTTCTCAACGCATAGGAACTCAACGATCGCTTCTTCGTCAATATCTTTCTGCTTGAGATCCGCTTCAGTGAGGGTTCCCTTCAAGACATTCGGTGTGACAAACAGTTTTCGAGCGCCAGTGAAGAGCCAGTTGTCCGGAATTTTTGGCCCTTTTTTGTCTTTAGACTTCTTTTTGCCGTTAACTTTGGCATCGCTTTGAGACTCATTTTGGGATTCATTTATCGATTCGTCTTCTATTAGGGAATCGTTTATATCTTCTTTGGAGTCCTCTTTGTCTGAATCCACGTTTTCGTCAGTTTCTTGAGTTGAGTCCAACTCTTCTTTCAACTCGTCTTCGTTTCCGTTTTCTTTCGTTTCGTCGTTCTCTTTGTGCTCTCCTTTGTCCTCAACGTCTCCATTGTTTTTCTGTTCGCCACTCTCTTCCTCTTTAACAGTGTCTTCGCTTTCGACGACTTCGACCACACGATCGCCGTAATCGATGTCGACGTCAATGAATTCAGTGATTCCGTACTTTTGCTCAAGAATTTGCTCAATACTTCCGTAGGCTTTCATCAGCTCTAAGCCCTTCTTACCGCCGATGCCTTTAATACTATCGCAATAATCACATCCCATGAGAATCCCTAAGTCGATGAACTGGTTGTGCGTCATCTCGAGTCCCTCCAAGACTTTATCCAAATAGTATTCCTTCACTTTCTCGTTGTTACCACTCGTGAGGTTGCGTATGAGTCGCGGCGACCCGAACGTGAGTGCGTCCATGTCTTCGGTGGCCGTGGCGTAGACGAGACCCTCTTTGCAGAGTTGGGCGCATTGGGCCTCCGCTTCGGAGGGCGACTCAATCACCGGAAGACCCATCAGTTGCAACAACTTCTTGCAGTCGCTGTTGTGCTGACGGGTGACCCGAACCACACGTTTGTTGAATTTGTTGATATTGTCGATGTCCTGCTCCTCGAGAGCGTCGGCCAACTTGTTCTCCGCCTCTTTGCGTCGTTCGGCTCTTTTGGTGAGTTCTCCGCACTTCAGTTGTGGTGCCTTTCCGTCGAAGACATAAATCGGTTTAATTCCCATTTCCAGCAGTTTTATGGTGCGGTAGAAGAGTCCAATCAAGTGACTGGTGGTCTCTCCGGCCTCGTTGGTCATGAGCTGATCCTTGTTTCTGATGGCAATGAGGAACTGGTAGATACACATCGAGGCGTCGATCGCTATCCGCCGCCCGAACAGCGACTTCAGCTCAACCTCACGGATGGCCTCCGGAGCGATGTCTGCGATGAGACGCGAGAGGTTCAGGATTCCCATCACTTCACCACTTCTTCACCGATAACTCACTTCTTGTGATTCACGAGTATTTCACTTATTCTTCACTATATTTACCACTTCTTCGCCGAACACTGTTTCCCGCTTTAAACCAATGCTTCATATATGTAACGGACCTTTATATGACACAACACTGTGTCATATCTATGGCTCATGTAGTCATAAAAAGTACTAGATTTTAGTGTGACACATATAAACTGTATGTTTTTTAATTTGCAAAGTTTATTATAAGTTTGACTTAATTAATACGGTATAAACCATACAATCATTTAACTTAGAGCATTAAACAGGCGTGAAGTGATGTATATTAATGTATTGATCAAGTTCATTTAGTTCATATCTAACAAAACCAATATTGGTGTCAAACGGGGAAACGTATGGTTTGTGAAACGTATGTATGAATGGCCCCAAAGTGAAGGTCATGTGAGAGCATTGCTTTCTGTGAATGAAAGCATTGATTGAATGAATTAATTGTGAATTAATTATAATTGAATGCATTATTACACGCCTTTCACTGTTAACTCGCAATACATACCATTAATTGTCTAAACCATACAAATGTGAGTATTATTTGCATTCATTCAATCACTTATGTCTCACAAATATGTTTGCTTTCCGGCGAAATGCATGTGTTTTTCATTCAAACTAACAATTCATTCATTTTGTGTTTAATTGTATTTAAGTTAAAGTGAAATGTTGTGTTCACTCAATACAAGTGAATGTGTATTGATTTATAGGGTATTATAAGTTAAACACATTATAAGTTAGTTTAATACCGACTCCTATGACGACTACCTGTGCCTCATGCCTGTACCTCACAGACAGGCATTCATTAGGAAATATACAGTTATTTATTACAATTTATTATAAGTCCAGTCAATCGTATGAAGTAATGTGCCTTCAATCTAGTCATAACTGGTATTAATAGTATATTATAGTTAGTTTTGAAGCCATTTTAATAATAGTTTGACTTTGCATTTGTTACGTAAGTTTAGCACTAAATATAAGGGATGTCAACACAAATAGGATTAGTTTGTGACCAAAGAGTGGAGGATTGCATTTGAAGGTTAGGTACGGTTGTCAGTACTGTTGGACTCTATCAATGGTCGATGTCTTGAGGCACTTGTATTGCAACAAATGCTTGACATATACTGTAATACTATTGAGTAAATAGGGATTCATATGATTTCATTTACATTTAGCTATTGAATAGCTCTTTAAACTCATGTTGTTTATCACAAAAACAAGTGTAACTTATAAGTGATTTATAATATACAGTACAGTATATAAATATTTAGGATTTATGTCCAAATCATATGACAATTGTTTATGTGTTGAGTAAACTATTTTGTTTATACCTTTAAAATTGAAATAAATAATTACAAAATGATTTGATTTTTTCAGACATGACTTTATTATAATGAGAACACATTCACACAATTTATAATTTTTTTCTGTTTTTCTATTAATGAATATTATATATAATGACATATAAATTGAGTTAAATATACATAATTTAGTTAATTAATAAAATGGTTAATTAATTGAATAATACATTCATTCATTCATCCAAAGANTCGCCTCATTCTGACCAAACACTCACACCTTCGCCACCGACAGACACGTCTTCCAGTGACACGACTGTCCAAACGCAGTCCAGAAGACAAATGAGACAATTGAGACGTCAACAGCAACAGCAGCACAGCATTCAGAACAGGAACACCACTCCAACCAACATCAATGTTCATGTGAGGGCTGGTATGTATCGTATACTCTACTCTAACCGTAATACTGTATATAATGTACTGGATTAACACTTACATTGTGGTCGATGTGCTGTACGACAGGTGTTTTGGATGAGTTGAAAGTGTTGTCTGAGATGCAGAGCCGTGAAGAATATGCGGGCAAGAAGTTGATGACCAAAGCAAATATGGAGCGCCAGAACAAAGTGCTCGTTCAGCGCAATCACCCGCAGACTCGCCGATCAAAGATGTCGGTGCGACCTAACGGTATATACAATAATAGGAAAAACTGTTGACTTTAAGCCAATTCATAACTCAATACAAAACTACATGAGTTTGTATTTCCATTCAAACACACATTTATTTTATTTTTCGTTTAATCTCTGATCCTTTAAAAAAAACTCAGTTTATAATATAAATAAAGTTACAGAAACTCAAGTTGAGTTATAATAAAACTAAATAAACTGAATACGAAAGTTTGGGAATAACAAAAGTTTGTATATAAATAGCTAAGTTAGTAAAGTTTTATTCGGATTTTTAGTTTAAGAGAATTTAATTCTGACTTCTTTTATGACAAATATATATAACAACTGCTTATATATGTTTAAAATTATTAATTTATTCAAAGACTGAAATATTTGAATTAATATAACAATTCACATAAAGTTAATACGTTATGCAATTAATTGAATTTAATGACACTTTAGCAAATTCTAGGAAATAACATGTAATACAAGTAAAATGGTATGGCTTTTGTAAATATAATACTCATTGTTAGAGGTTTTGGTCTTAATATTATATAAAATAGAAGTGTAATTGAAATCAAATCGATGTAAATGTTATTTCCTAGTCGTCTGGTCTGATCTCATAGTCATTAAAATAACACAAAAATACATTTAATTAATTAAAATCTGACAAACTAATGGAAACCATTTTGAGTTGTAGTATTCAATTATAAAAACGGTTTTGCATTTTAAGTGAATTTCTCACATAAAAACAATTAAATGCAATATTTCTTTAAACTCGTAAATTTGCTTTTTTAACGATTCTTCACATTTTTAGCTTACAATTCAACTCAATTCACAGATAACTTGCTAGGATTCATAAGTTACTTTTGACAAAAACGTAAGTAAAGATTTATGTAAAAGTACTTATGAGAAGTGTTAGCTATGCTTTGTACTCTTAACGTTACTTTTGATATATTTAACAAACTTTCAATATACAAATTGCTCATTTATTATTAACTACACTATAAGTAATAGTAGAGCTATTTGTGACCCGTTTGTACCAAACAAAAACAAAATATAGTTTAGATCTAAACTGTGATCTCTATCCCAATCTCTAACCAAAAAAGCAATTTTCAGTGTGTTTTCACTTTTGGTTTATTTTTGGTTTTCATATTCATTAATTTATTGGTAAGACTACTGAAATATGAAATGAGACAAAAAAGTAATGTTTAAATATTTGCTAAAACATTGTTATCTTAAGTCCACATATGATTATAGCGACTATAAGTCTATGACAAACGTATTTCAATTGAAATAGCGATCACTTTCACGAGTGTAGTGAGTGTTGAGTGCAAATGCCTTTGCATTCACTCGACGTATGATATATTTATAGACTGTTTAAAGTATTTAATTGACATTAATATTAAGAAAGTCAGTGAAAGACAGTAATTAATATTCAGACCATAAATTGCTTTCTAAACAAAACTTTGTCCTCAATTCATATCAATAATAATTACAGACTTTTTCTGATTTAATTCTGTATTTCCCGTCCAATGAATCCATAAATTGTAATCTAATGAAATGTCATTTGTATTTATGGTTAACTTAATCTTTTACAGTAAAACTTCGGAAAGTTTCATGTTGAAATGATTAGATAATTAATAATAAGTAGAATAAATGATGGCTATATAATAATAATATATATAATAATAACTTATAACATGTTGTAAAATTGTTTTATAACATTAAAAAATGCACAAAAAATCTGTACATATAATAAACACTATATCTGTGGGTTTGAGTCTTTGGATGAATGAATGAATGTATTATTCAATTAATTAACCATTGTATTAATTAACTTTTAATACATATAAATTGAGTTAAATATACAGTAATATATATTATAAGTAATTATCTTTTTGTCTTTTTTTAATATTTAACACACTTACACAAGAGTAATATTATTTCAGTACAGACTTTTTTAGTTTCATTTTGTAATTATTTATTTCAATTTTAAAGGTATAAACAAAATAGTTTACTCGACACATAAACAATTGTCATATGATTTGGACATAAATCCAAAATATTTATATACAGTACTGTATATTATAAATCACTTATAAGTTACACTTGTTTTTGTGATAAACAACGTGAGTTTAAAGAGCTATTCAATAGCTAAATGTAAATGAAATCATATGAATCCCTATTTACTCATTAGTACTGTATTACAGTATGTCAAGCATTTGTTGCAATACAAGTGCCTCAAGACATCGACCATTGATATAATAGAGTCCAACAGTACTGACAACCGTACCTAACCTTCAAATGCAATCCTCCACTCTTTGGTCACAAACTAATCCTATTTGTGTTGACATCCCTTATATTTAGTGCTAAACTTACGTAACAAATGCAAAGTCAAACTATTATGAAAATGGCTTCAAAACTAACTATAATATACTATTAATTATAACTTATAATAAGTTGTAATAAATAACTGTAATTTCCTAATGAATGCCTAATGTCTGTGAGGTACAGGCATGAGGCACAGGTAGTCGTCATAGGAGTCGGTATTAAACTAACTTATAATGTGTTTAACTTATAATACCCTATAAATCAATACACATTCACTTGTATTGAGTGAACACA